ATCTTTTTTAATTTGGCGTTTTGAAATCAGTGATTTTGTTTGCTGTTTCATAATGAAACCTTAATAATTTTCCATATTCATTCATTTACGTATAGTTTGATTGATATACCATTTGAGAAACAACGAATTTCGTCTGCATGGGATAACATTTGCTATTGCCGATTTATAAGGTCCGTTGAGTAATTGAAGTAGTATAAAGTTGAGCATGTTTTGGGTGGTATTTTAGCAGGTTGTAATTGTAATTGAGAATGTGTGAAATTTCAGTGGTCACAGCAACAGCAACGGCGAACAGCACCAACGCGTTACCATCAATAATATCTCGTTTACCGCCATCGGCCAACTGCATCAGTGTTGAAGAATTGGAAAGACAGTTTGCAACTAATTGATATTATGCTGAATCTATATTAACAGCCCTTCTCATACATTTTTATCATTACGATTGTTGTCACTATCGAAGTTGTTAAGTGATATTATTTTACTGTCACCTCGTCGGTGTCTCCATTACGAGTATATTCATCTGTTAATGCTAATGACAACATTACTATTTTTATTATTGTTCCTATTGATATTAATCTTTACATTATTACTATCACTGTTGTTACTGTTCATATGGATGTTTTACTCGTGAAAGTATGCATCGTCACTTTCTGATTCGTTTTAAGCACGAACTTTTGAGTCTCGTTGCGAGCGTATCGCCTTTCGAATCAGTTGATTTTAATGTTTCGTTCAGTTTTATTATGATTATTTTGCAGTAGCAGTCGTTTTGATTTCGGTGATTTTCATATTCAGACGTGTGAATATTGACGAGGGAAATTGAGGAGTAATTTATTTTATTTTTGAGTGTCGACTTGTTCACTTTTCATTTTAAGTTCAGTTATCATTACGTTCAAATCATTTCTTTTCTCTTGTTGTTATTGGTTTCGCAAAGATTTATTATGATGATGTTTATTATAAGTTATCTTTGATTTTAACTGACGAGCGCTTTGAATTTGAATTGTTCATCGATTTTTGTTTGAAAAGAACATTTCATTTTGTTCAGATTAATTGAATTTGACATGTTTGTTTGGTTGCTTATTGGATGCATCAAGATGGCTGATCAATCAGTTGTTCTCTTTTGAATGTCGTGTATTGTTGTTCATTCAATACATCCTTTTATCTGATCGCTTTTGCGCTTTCACTCTCGATTTATTTTTTCATTCGGATGAAACTCAAATCAATGCAGTTGGAACCAAAAAATGCATTTTTTAAATTGGACATCGTTAGTTCGAAAGTCGACTTTTAGACAATAATCGTATGATAAATTTCAAAATTTTACGGGTATGTCATGTTGTTGGTCCGG